TTTTTTTTTGTTAATGGGGTGATATTCATTTGCCTTAATCCCCTGGCATGTGGACTTTCTTTGAGTTGTCTGAGATACTGGTTGTAGTGATTTATATAAATGTACCTAACCACATGCCCATTGTATTTTAAAGATAGGTTAACTAAACAAACCGTCATTTTAGAATATCAAATGTATTGGAAAACTTACCAAAAAGACTCTGGAGTCCCTTGAAGAAATTGTCAGCAAGATCCTTGAAAGCAGCGGTGAACTTGTTCTTCAGGCCACTTAGGGACTTGAGGCCGTCCTCAATGGATTGCTTGGCCTGGACAGTGAGGGCACTCAGAATCTGCTTGACGTCTGTGTATGTTTGGGCTCCCTGCTGCTTCAACAACTCGGTGTAATTGGCAACCTTCGCCAGCATCTCACTGGTGACCTAAATTTTAAATGAAAAAAAAAAGAATCAATTAAATTCAATGATCACCATTTCATCATTAGCAAATTATCATTTCATTATTTACCAATATTGTTCCGAGTCCATATGTCATTTAAAAAAGCAAGAAAATGATCCATTGTGATATTCATTTTGCCAAATCGCCTCATAAAATTGATAACTGTTGTCCGTATGAAGATACATGAATGAGACCAATAGGGTCCAACCACAGAAATTAAAGATAAGTTAGAAAAACTGATATACTAAAAAGAATACTAGAACTGAAAACGTTCTACGTATGTCATCCCTTCGTCATTTTCTTGCCAATATAACAAAACTTCACGGTAATATTCCCCATACCTTCTGTCCATGGGCCACGGCAGAGTTGACCTGTTCTACAGCCTGCTGAAGGGCGAGCTCCAAAGCCTGTCCGAACTCAGTCTGAACAGCACGGAGGACACTTGGAAAAGAAAATATCATTTTGCAATAGGCATAACTCGCTGTAACGTTTCAATTTTGCTTATCTTAGGATGAGTGATATTTTTCATACAATTTAATTTTTTTTTTCTTATTTTTTCCTGTTTTTGCCTTTTTGAAGATGTAAGCGCTAGTCAGCAACCTGAAAATCATGCGTAGAACATGTAACGATAATAACGATCATCATATCTGTGAATAGATAAGTAGTCACTTACGCTCTCTTCTCCTCGTCCAAATCACGCTTGCTGATCTCCTCATCAAAAACAGACCTGAAAGCACGAACGGCAGCCTGGATCTCGTCTTCAACCGCAGTTGAAACATTATGATATATGTGTAATATAAAGCATTAAGAAAGTGTAGCAGCTGAAACATTACTATGTGTGTGTGTGTGTGTAGTAAAAACCACGAACTGCAGCCTGGATCTCGCCTTCAGCAGTTAAAACAGATATTTATTTTGTGCGAACAATAAATAGATAAAAAGATAAAAGCAATATCCCTTTAGCTCTATTGCGTAGATGCACAAGTCAATTCCATTTACTTAAGGTTTATACATTAAGAATGGAAATATGTAAATTCTATTAATCCGTATTCTATAATTCAGCGAGAGATAAAATTTTTGATCGAAAAAATGCTGTCTTTGCACATAAAATATGAATGTACACCATTGAACCGACATAGAAGCAGGCACAGGTGGTTAACTTTTAGACAATTGATACTGATATTTCATTATCCTTTGCCTTATCTCGTAAAACTATACCACAATGATTTCTTTGTGGATCGGAATGTTCCTTTTGGGGCAGATTAGTGGCACAAAATTTTCTGTTAGAACGTATGTTGATTGCGTCGCATCGATACTTTTCTCTTTCTAGATATTTCAGAAGATTGCTCCAACACATATTCTCATATAATAGACAAATTTTCTTGTTTTCTGGATGTATTAAAGTCGATTTCTCATTTGTCACGAATTAACTAGTACTCTCCATGTTTGTCAATAAGACGCGTAGTTGGGGGTACAGGGGGTGGAGTAGATCCGGTCAAGATAATGTGCTTGGCGTTGTAGGCAGCCTGCACCACCTGGGTCCACAGACTTCCAAGATCCTGCTTGTAAGGCTCCAAGAACGCCAGAAGTTCCTTGGTGACGGCAAGGCTAGCGTCCTTGGCGTGGGCAAGGTACTGAAAGTGACAAAATTTTCTTAGCTTTGATTAAAAGTTACTTGTGCTGTTGAAATATTTTTCATATCACGCCCAGACCGGCTTGTTGAGCACCAGTTAGGACCTAGAACATAACATGAACTTCGTTGTACATATACATATTGAAATTCGGGCAATATTTAATATCAGTTGTGTTTATATATGAATGAAATAACAGAAATTTACTTACGGTAGTGACCAAAAGCTTGACGTTATCAAATAGATGTCCTTTCTTCTGGTCCATGGCCTTGCCAAGCTTCCCCTTCACGAATGTGAAAAGGTTAGTATATTTCCCTATGAGGGTGTTCCAAAAATTATCCAAGTGATTTTTTTCAAGTGTGTATTTGTATTTTTCAAGTGTGTATTTTATTATCGCCTCCAACAAATCTTGAACAGATAAAATATGCATACATATAATGTTCTTTTATGTGAAAAAACTCGTACAATAATTAGAAAAAGAGTATTTGAAAGATGCATTTGAAGCGAGTCAGCATATCAATTCTTTCCCATTATATCTACCATATAGTTTCAAAAAATTATTATTTGAATAAATCACTACAGGATATCGTTTCATATTCCCCTGAAATTGATCAAAAAGCACGAACTGCAGCCCGGATCTCGACCTCAGCAGCTGAAACAGTATGATATATATATATATATATATATATATATATATATATATATATATATATATATATATATATGTGTGTGTGTAACATAAAACAAGAACGGCAGTATGGGCCTCGTCCTTAGCAGCTCAAACATTATGATATATATATATATATATATATATATGTGTGTGTGTGTGTGTGTGTGTGTATGTGTGTGTGTGTGTAATATACAGCACGAACAGCAACCAACCTGGATCTCATCCTCAGCAGCTGAAACAGTGCAAACAATATGACATAATTATGTTGAGGTGAGTGTTTTAACGAAGATGAAGATATATTTATAATTATTTTTTTTAACCTTTAAGCTCTATTTTTAGATGTACAAGTCAATACTATTTACTTAATTCAAATGCATTTGCTACAATTTTGATTCGTCTGGTTCGAATTAAATCATTTGTCATTCTCGCCGCCATGAGACCCCTTGCGCAATTCAAAACTTCAATCCAGTTTAAGTGTTTATTCATTGCAAATCGAAATCTCTAAATTTTGTAAATTTTGTATTTATCACCAATAAATAAGGTTATTTTTGATAGTACACAATTAAATTAAGGTAAATCTTAAATGGACATGAAAGCAGTCAGGGGTTGTTTGTTTAAAAACAACATTTATGTTTTATAAAACGTCATAGCGTCGATACTTTTTTTTTTGGCGTATGGCCATATACTCGTCTCCTCATTCTGATTTCAGAAGACTGCGCCAAAACATATTTCTAGCAAACGGGTGAATTTTCATGTTCTTTTAGCGTTTCGATTTATTTAAGTCAATGACATTTTGCTCATGGAGGTTGGTCCAGTCCCCTTTTGTTTTGTCACCTTTCAAACTCCACATCGAGCCCTTGCGCGTGATGTCGAATTGTGCGTTTTTCATGCATAATATAAAATGCTTTAAACTTGGTAAATTTCTAATAATTGTTCACCAACTACATACTTATCGTTTACAAAATCCACTCATATGTCACAAATTAACTACCGCTGTCCATGTTTTTCAATAAGATAAAAAGACGCTTACTTAGGGGTACAGGGGGTGGAGTAGATCCAGTCAAGACAATGTGCTTTGCGTTGTAGGAAGCCTGCACCACCTGTGTCCACAGATTTCCAAGGTCCTGCTTGTAAGGCTCCAAGAACTCCAGAAGTTCCTTGGTGACGGCAAGGCTAGCGTCCTTGGCATGGGTAAGGTACTGAAAGTGACAGAATTTGTCAGCTTTGATTAAAAGTTACTTGTGCTGTTGAAATATTTTTCACATCACGCTCATGTGATAAGTACATGGAAATGCATGGATTTTAGATTGACAAATAACATTTCGCACCAGTGAGAAAACCGAAAACGTGACAACAACCGAAGCTAATCTCAATTACAAGTAATTATATAGTCTCAGTCCAAGGAGCTAAAACACATAATTGCATAAGTTCAGCAATTACAATTTTGTAACACTAGACAAACCATACTGGAATACATATACATAAAACGTCTGGCATTGGAAAATTTAACAGCAATTACGCAGATTAAAACTGGGTTAAACTTTTTCGAATTATCTTTTATTACCTCTTGGACGTTGTCGAAGTGTCCTTTTACTTTGCCCCACAGATCTCCAGCGTACTGCTTGATGAAGACTTGGAGATCAGCGAACTTGGAGCTGAAACCTCCCAGAGCCTGGGACAAAGTGTCCTTGACTCCCTGCCACCATTCAGCTACACCACGGTCAGCCAGAACAAGTGCTACGGTCTGATGATATGTACAAAACGATAGAATTTTGCTTTAAGGAACTAATTCAGGCACTCTAAGGGGGTAACATGGTACCATCACATAAAAAAATCAACTAATATAGGGGGGTCGTGATTGTAAGACGTAAGTACGTAAAACCTAAGACTTACGTTCTTTGACTTTGTTAGAGGAAGTACCCAGATGATATGAAATAGATTTGATATAATGCCGACAAATTGACGTTTTTACCTCACCCAAAAGTTCTTCTTCGAAGTTTTCAAACAAATTACGCTTGCCTGAAAATAAACAAAGGTGAAATATAGAAATACACATTGAACATTGCAAACTCAGTTCTCAAAAAGCACTGCATTTCATCGAAACATACAACTTCACGTTACTGATTCATAAGTGTTTTGATACAACACCTTTCCCAGCAAACATAGAACCTATTGTAACGTTACATTAACGTGTTTGGTTATTTAAGCGGTATAGTAACGTTACTGCCGCGTTGATAATAGTCACGAAGCTTCAATATGCTAGGCAAGTATGAATATAACGCCAAGTAGAAATAAACAGTTTTGTTGTAAATGGACTGCGTTGGGTTTTTATCCACCCAACACACACACACACACACACACACACAAACACACTGGCCACTGCTTTAAGAAGTTGCGCTGCACTAATCGTCTAAATGCAGTTTGCTGGCATTTTATATGTACTGTATGTGTACTTGCTAAGACAGCATAAACACACCGATTTACTTTACATTCAACTTAGAAAAAAAAAATATATATATATATATATAATTGGTCAAAAAGGTTGTCCCACCTTCAATACCAAATGATCACCTCACACGTGTAAATTGTCATAAACAGTGCTTTTTTATTCCAGATACCATATATAACATGATTAATGGTTCAGGAAATACAAAATAGTGGTGAATATATCCATATTTTGTACCATTTATTCAAATTTATAACATGTAACACCTCAAATCCAATGTTTCACTGTGATTTCCACAAATGTAAAGAAATGTCCATAAATTTTTAAAGACGCCACCAACTGTCACCAAATTTACACACAATTAGCATTAGGTTGTGCTTGTTAAAGATCACACGTCTAATCGTGAGTGTACCTGACGCGTATTGCAATTATCTCCTGTAGGCGGCGCGACAAGCCATCAGCAAGGGTAACAATTCTGTCTTGTGGGATATTGTCCCAGTCTTCCTAAAGAGCTTGTAGGAGATGTTCCAGATTTTTAGGGGGTTGGTTCTCCTCTGCATTGCACACTCCAATTCATGCCACAGATGCTCAGTACCCAGTGGGCAAATTATGTTGTTTTAACGTTGAAACAACGTTGAACCATAACGTTGAGAAGACATTGGATCAACATTGGATTTTAAAGTTGTGTCAACCTCAGATAATCAACGTTGTATCAACGTCAGAAAACAATGTTATATCAACCCCACCCAGGGGGAAATTCCAACGTACACAATTATAACGTACACTGTAAAAACATCCTGCCTGCTTTGTCTGCTTTTTTCAACGCATTTAGCTCCTAAGCATGTTTTGCACCAAAGCATGGTACACCCTTTTAGCCTGGATGTGTTTAGCAGTAGGACATGTTTGATGGCTAAATATATGTAGGGTATAAATGTATGGTCTTTAAGTTAAAATTTCTAAGGTTTTAGATAGTTATATATATATAGTTATATATATAAATAACAAAGTCACAG